AACTCCATCCTGAAACGATGTATTCGCCTTACTTTCTTCGAACTTCCCGATATGAAAAGCTCCTACTGGATATGTGGCGAAATTCATTCAGGGCAAGTGCGTCCCAAAAAAACACGGGGGCAGTTCCGAAGTTCAGAATTGGTAGTACAAAACAAATACACCCCAGTGTCTCAATAAACATATGCAATAATGTTTGTTTATGTTTGACAATTAAACCAATATTGAGAAAGAACTAAAACTGGAATTATATACTGATAATTTTAATTTTATTTTTAGTTAGTGTGTAAGTAATATTGTTACAAGTTTTTTTTTTTTTTTTTGCTTTTCATCACATCCATGCTGTCACATCATTCTGGTGGTTAGTCCATTAAAAATGGCAATAAAAGCCCTATATATATGTATACACTTCTACTTACTTTGAGTATTTACTTGTTACTCAAAATGTGTTTTATTATAATTTATTTTAGCCTACATTACTGAATAGTTTATCTGTGTTTAGTGATTTTAATTTGCTGCCTTGTGTGAAGCACATAGGGTTTCGTAAAATGCCCTATAAATAAATTTATTATTATTAAAATATTAACTGCAATAGCCAGTATAGATCTCAGATAAACTGAGACAGTGGCGGCCCCTCTGAAATGTACAGCAGTAACAGTATTAAGTAGCACAGAATGAAGATACTCAAGTGAAGTACAAGTAATCTACCTTAGAAGTGTAATTAGGTAGGCTACAGTAGTTGAGTAAATACTTTTATTGTGATTTTGCTCTGCTGCACATGGGTTTCTACAGTTAATGCTGGATTTCCCTCTGCAGGCCGGATTTAGAGAGACTTATTGTGAAAGTCCCTGAGCGGATGTCGCTGGTACCCTGGTGTGTGAGCGCTGCTGCTGTGCGGATGATGATTAAAATGTCTAACGTCAGTCCACCACGCGTAACCAAGACCTGGATCGCTCTGAGACGCCTTGACAAAAACGGTTCGTAGGTTTCTGTAAGTTTTTTTGGACTTTGCGAGCAGTGACATGATTTCTCAGACACTGCAGGGGCCTACTAGGTTTGTGCGTCTGTGTCCATGGCAACCTGTTTGACCCATTGAAGTGGACATTATGCGCTCAGCTTCTCCTCAAACCATCATACAAATCCGCACTTTACAGCTTGCATTAAGTTTTTGTTATTGTTGTTGTTGTTGTTGTTCTCAACTTCAACTTAAGTAGATGGTGAAGCTTATAACAATAACAATGAATGACCAAAGAGGAGAAGCTACAGCTGTATTTGACTGTCGAGTGTTATCAGCTCTCTGAATGGCCGCCCGCATCTCAGATGAGTAAAGTGATTCAGAGAGGCTGTTTAATAAAACTAAATGATTCCTGCTCCCTGACTAATGTGTGTGTGTGTGTGTGTGTGTGTGTAGAAATAATAATTTTGTTATTATCATACATTATTCATCAGCCTAATGCTTTTTCGAGTAGTTTAAAGCATTAATAAGAACACACTTTTGGGTTAACACGTTGTAAAAATTAACGCATTAATAAATGCGCAGGTCTGCGGATGTAATTGTCATTAATAAAGGGCAATAGATAATCGGTTAAGCACTTACACATGGTAATAAAGTCGTTTTTCTAATAAGCATTCAGACGCTTACATACAAACTTCAATAAAGGACTGATAACAGGTTTTCTGTAATAATCCATCAAGTCTGCAAATGTCTTTTGTTTTCTTTTTGATAGGATTTTCCACAAAACAGTTACCTAAATAAATTACATCAGCTTCTTCTCCCTCATTACAAAATCCAGAATTTATGAACATGCAAATATTTTTAATTTCAAAAGTTTAAATACTGGACACAGTCAGTGTCCCCTGTTTCACTGTTAAGTCTATTTTAGAGATTTTAAGTTTCCACATCAAGTGTGATACTAGATCATGATTGGCTTCCAATAGTTGCAATGTCACAAAATCACGCTTGTATTTGCAAGTGTTTAAACTCACATTTAAGGTGAGCACAGAGAAACTTTCCCCTTTCAGCAGATGAATTTTAAAAACCACCTTCTAGTGTCAAACTGCAAAATAAGCCACAATAAGCAAACCACATTTATAAGTGCAGGGGGGGACTTTCCTGCATCCCTATGAATAATGGCGTATAAAGAATTAGAAAATGATTTATTAATAACTGATAAAGCTACTACAGCTCCTAAACACTTTTTAAAGGATGGTCTATTAGAAGGTGGCAGCCTCTCATGTTGTATCTGCTGCAGATGACAGAGTGGTGGCTCTTCGAGAAGTGTCCATTCCTGCAGCAGCTGAGGTCCCCATGATCATACAGGTATGTTGCTTTTTTTATTGTACCTGCAATCTTTTGGGAAGATTTTGTCTTTATTTGACTAATTGATAACTTCATTACATGTTCTAGTTACTGTGATTATTTTGCCAACTATCACTGTAAATGTGTTGTCTCATGCAGATTACATGAAACTATGGACCTGATCGGTTCCTGTTCATGTATTGAAAAATATCAACAAAGAGAATTTATGATAAATGAATAAAATAATAACAAACAAACAAAAAAAACAGAAACTCTCTGGCTGTTTGATATTTTATCTTTTGATATTGTATCTCTTTTCAGATTATCTCCACTACCTTTGGGCTGAACTCTTCTAATGTCATATTCAAGGTGCAATGACTCATTTTTTCTCATGTTAGAGATGCAGGCTTCTTTCTGAATGTTCGAAAGAAAGAAAAAATCTGTTTTTGGTTGTAGCTGAAACCATCAGTATGGGGTTAAAATTCTTAAACACACATTGATGATGATGAATCCCTTCTTCTTTTGTCTGTTTGCAGATAAGGAACCACTGTGGCTGTCTGATCCCTCTGAACAGCTCAATCCCTGCAAACAGCAAACACATGTGAGAAGTCTTGATTAAAGACATTTTGTTCTAGATTTCTAAACATCTATTCAGTACTGTACTGATGTCAACTGGTGAAATGTATTTTTCACCACAGGCCTTATCTACTTGAGGTAGCCAAGATCTTTCAGCATGGTAAGAGTGAACTCATCTTTTGTTCTCTTTTTTTTATAAACTGCAGGTCAGGATGTGGGCAAGGGGCTGTCATTTGGGCTTCTACGTTACCCAACAATGTTAATAGAATAGAGTGATATTTCGTAAAAAACAAGTATTCATTTTCTTGAAAAAAATGTGATGAGAAGAGTGATACAGCAAGAGGCTGAAAACAGCTAGTCTGGCTTTTTCTGAAGGCCACACAGTCTGCCTATCAGAACCTCTAAAGCTTATTATCTTGTTTTTTTAATCTGTTTTGTCCAGATTATACAAGCAAGATATAAAAACCCTGAGCTTTAGAGGTAGTGGAAGGTTGATTTTCATACTTTTGGACAGAGCCACACTTTTGTACATAAGACCTTAGAGTGGTTGTGATCTTCTCATCTAACTCTTGGCAAGAAGTCAAATAAGAGTATTTCCCAAAATGTCATATTATTCCATTAAACTGCCTACTGTATGTTGATGGTGGCACCATCTCTGGCATCAGTGGCACCTTCATATCCCAAACTGTTTTTTAAGTACACATAGTAGTTTCTGCAGAAATGTAATAGTGCTCCCTCAGGTGTGCTTGAATACATTATCATACCCATTTCTTACATTACTTAAGTGAAACACAAATTCAGCCTGATTAAAAGCCAAATTTCTCATCTGTCTGTAACGGTTGTGATTTTCTCTGTTCGCAGTGCTTCCCAAACCCAGAACCATTCCCATGACTGTGATCAATAAGAGCATGAAGACCAGGCTACAGACCATTGACAGGAGGGTGAGGCACAGTAACCACAAAGTAGTAATACAATAATGTGGTGGTTTGGCGACGGTACAGTATAAGTGGTTTACAAGAACTAATACTGAAGCATTTACTCAGCAGTGCTGGTCCACAATAAAACTACAACAATGTTTGGAGAAGAAAATGTTTAGCTCTAATTATCAACCACGTGTGCTTCGTAATAGCACTTTTATAGTGTCAATTAGGAGATGATCTAATGTAGAATATGAATTGCTGGGCAGTGCTGGCCTAAAGGTTAGAGAAGAAACAATAAAACACACCAAAACATCTGACCTCTAACCAGAGATGAATTTAGATTCCATGTTATATTACAGATTCAGAGACTGGAGGAACTTCTGCCTCAGATCAAACTCAGGCGCAACGAAAAACTAAGCCAGGTATTTGAACTTTCCTTTAGGCCTTCTACACAGCCACTCTTGATAATGGTAGTGGATTTTTTTGTGAAAATGTAACAATATGAATGGGATAGTTTGTGATTAAACTGCTATAAAGAGGTATACTACATGCATATGCATCCCTACATCCATCTGACTATGGCTTCTCTGTCCTGTCTCAGGACATTGAATGTCTCAACCAAAAGTTGAGGTTTCTTCATAAGAGGATGCAGGTGAGTCATTCTGATCCAACATAATAAGCATCCAACTTCTATTCAGATTATCTTAGAATAATGCACGAATTTAGGTACTTCAAGGAACTTAATAGTCTAGCTGCAATGTCTCAGAAACAACATTTCAAAGGAATGTTTGCATGAATTTTCCAGGTCTCTGCATTGTTTCTGCAGTCTTTATGCTTCTTACTGAATGTCGTTGTTTTTCAGTCTCACATTTGCACACACTGTCCTACTCGCAGGTGGCAGAATCTCGCAGCTGGAAGGGAATGCTGACCAGAGCCCCTCTGTGGTAAACAAGCACCCATATTTCTGGCTGGCTGGCTCATAGAAGATACCATCTGTGGGACCTAGAATCACACTCACCCCCCTTGGAACAAGCCGCAACTTATCCCTGTACATGCACACATGACCATGCGTCATTGTTGGGCTCTGGTACTTAAAAAAATTGCATAATACCCATCCAAAATTCCAATTAGCTAACTTTATGTTCTAAAAATCTGAAAATCATCTGAAAATCTGAAAACATTTTGGGTTATGTCACTGTTCAGAAAACTCTTATATCGTGAAGTAGTAAAGAGGATTGGGTTAATAATGATTCTTACGCAAACTCTTAAGTTATCTTTAAACGCTGCACATATTGAGCCAAACTGACAGGTAATTTTCAAACCATTTTGTAGTTGAGAACGAGTGTGGTTCACACAGGTAGTGTGGCTGCTCTCTGTGAATTGGGTTTAACTCGAACTCTTCAATCTCAGCGCTAGATGTCACTAAAATCTACACACAGCACAACGTCATATTGGCCTGTTTTATGATCACTGCTAGTTAACAGGGTTGAGGTCACACTAGTTCGCAGTAAACACACTGGAGAATTTAAGTGTTTCATCAGAGTACTAACACTGTGTTTTATCTATTATTTTGACCTCTGATCTTCGTTTTTTACATGTTTTACATGAGCTGAAAATGAAAACATGGTACCTAAATTTAATAGCAGCTTTACTTTGAAAGTAGTGATATGTGAAAATATTAAACTTTTTCATAAAAGCATGAAACTCAGTACACACAGAGCCATGTGTGTGTACGCCTATGTTTTGATGTTCAATGATACCATATACAATATCATAAACTGCTCAGGTGAATAGGTAATGGTGAATTTAGAGACATACAAAGGAAATCAAATATCTGAGAACCTATAGGCTTGACATTATAATACCATGAGTGCTCAATCCTTTTGTTCATTAACAAAGCAATAAAGTGACTGTAAAGAGTAGAATAATATTCAATATGATCTTAACAACTTAGCCTTAAAAGAATAAGTCAAACACAAAGATTTACTTAAAACAATTATTGTTTTGTTGTTGTTGTTGGACTTTTTTTCACTGTCTCCTGTGCAGTGACACAGAGTTGGTCACTTTAAGGAGCCTATCTCCACCAGGCATAAACCTAAAGGGGATCATGTATTTGGTCACGTGTGTGTGTGTCTGTGCAACTGTCTGGGCTGATCAGCCTAATATTTTTTTGTCTACATTTATGACAGTGTGCTCAAGGATCTTTCGTAGTTGTGATTCACAATTAAGGTTGTTTTGTAATTCACAACCTTTTTTTGACTGGTCTGTCTGGTTTTTTGACTGGTCATCACTCCTCAAAGGAATATGTGCCAAGGGACCCAGGTGATCCTAGTGATCAGCTCATGCTTTAAGCACAGTGGGGCCCAGGGACCATCACTCAGTAGAAGCTGAGGGTCTTTAGTGGTCAGCTCACTCAGGGGCCCTCACACTGTAAGCAGTGTGGAGTCTAATATGAGTCCAGCTCATATTTTAAACTTCATGGGTCCCACATGCCATATAATAGAATAATCACATATCATGTGTTATAATAAACAATTATCTTTACTTCATTCACGTGTCTCTCTTGATTGAATTATTATTACTGTTATGTATCAATGTCTGTACATATTTCTGAAGATACATTTATTTATTTAGTTATTTATTTGTAGTAGTAGAGTAGTAGCAATTCAACTGTGTCCCTGCACAATGGTTAGCCTCATGCTAGGCTCATTAATGACATTGTTTAAATTCCACCATCTTAAAAGTAGTTAAAATTAGCACCATTGTGGCTTTGTGTTAAAAAGTCTGATATCCTAAACAACACAGCACACAGACAGCTGGTGTAATGAGCAGTTTAGACTTCAGACTGTGTGCACTGTCTATTAACTGTAATCCACACATCTATCAGAGGCAAGTGTTGCATTGTGGAATTTATAGGATAACGTAGCCTACCTGATATGGTCAGGACACTGCAAAATTGTAGAAATTCAGACAGAAAAATACAGTGAAATAGACATAGGCCTACATTTTCCTGGTTCTTATCCTGTGTCCATATGATAACTGCTCCGCTATCTCCACAAGTAATTAAATCCATATTTAATATAAAAGTATTTTTATATTAAAATTCCTCCATATTTAGCAGATAATCTAAATTTTTTTTATTTACTGCCAATCTACTGTTGCACATCCAGTCCAGTAGGTGGCGGTAATGCGTCGACAAGCTGGCTCTTCAACCGCCGGAAAATCTAAACAAAAATAGGTACGTAGTTCAAATGGACGGCACGTAGTCTTTTATATACAATGCTGGCTAAAAGAAGTGATCTCGGGCAGCTAAAATGGGCGTTAAGAAGTAGAAATGTACTTCCTTTGAGCCACTTTTGGTTCAACCTTTAGTAATAATGCTTGGTATTTGGTATTTGGTATTTGCTGGTGTTGGTACTGACACTGGAGCCTGTAATGAGAAGTTTCAGTTAGCCTGCTAGCTGCTGCAGCCAAGTGTCCGTGCCTCAGAGGGATCTCTCGGCTGATAAATGTCTGCTAGACGGGCTCTGGTGGACTGTGCTGTGCTGTCTCTGCAAGATGCCTGTGTGTTTTACCCGTGCTGTAAAGGCTGCTTGTCAAGGGTTGATGTTGAACAGCGGGACGCGACGAGGTAAAAACACACAGACCAACTTCTTCTAAACTTTACTGTGACTAAACACTCTGCAAATTGTAGCATACCAGTACTTTCTTATGTCCGAGCTGTAACTGCATTAACCTATTGCACTGACTTTTTACACTGCAAAAACGTTAACCTACAACACAAATAAATAACTCCCCAGCACTCATTTTGACCGGACACAACCTCCTGTGTCCCTCCTGTCTACCCTCCGCAGGTGGAGGTGCTGTAAGTGTGGTTACAGCTGTCTGAGGGAGCAGGTCGACTACAGATACCGTCTCTCTCTGAGGGTGACCCGGGACGGATGCATATTTGGAGTAACAGTGTTTGGAAGCTGCCTGAACCCATTCTTTGGCATTCATGCCAGTGGTTTACAGAGGTGAGCACGGTAGATTATCTTTCATGCAACTCCAAATGTCTGCAGTTTAACACTCTGGTGTATGAATTAGATTTTTTTTGGTTTGCCTCACACATGTTGTATCAGTATAGGATGGACTATACAATAATAACACATATTCAGTATTTGGAAATTTGTGTTTCGTTTAATGATTCATGTTTTTATTTCAGAAAAGTGTATTTATTTCTAAGGATGTTAGTATAAAACATTGTGGGAAACCCTGTCAGAAGGAATACAGTGTGTTAGCTTCAACCAGTGTTTAGTGTGGCACGTTTAGAAAGCTCAACTTGTTATCGGTGTCTTCTTTCATTCCCAGTTAAGTGAGAGGCAGTGTGGCTCTCTGTTGTGTCTGTCATTTTGTAGGCTGGTGGAGAACTTGGATGGACCCGTTGGACCAGCAACCAGATCCACATTGTTGATGAAGGCTGTCGCGGATTGCTTCATTGGCAGACATTTCATCTTTGGCCTTAAGGTACAGTTGTGATTGGGTATGTAGTGTTCTAAGCGGGTTGTGGTAAGGCTGTAACCTAAGGTGCTGATATTACCTGATTCTCAAGAGAGTTGCTGTTCACAGTCATTCGTCCAGATGGTCCCTTTTTTAGTAATCTTTTGGTCTCGCAAGCAAACTGAATCTAATTAAAGGAGACCCACCTCTTTATTATTTACTTCATCTTTTTCATTTTAACAATATTATAATTACAGCTAGAAGTAACTTTTTCCCTTAAACCTGGTTATGTTATTTGTGTAATATCAGTGTAATATCTGTTAGGAAATAATTCAATGTCTGTACCATATTAACTGACATAAATATGCCTTTTCTGGTTACAATAAAAAGATTTTTGAGTAATCAAAAGGCATGTTTTCCAATAGTTTTCCACATTGCCAATAGTACAATAGTCTAAACTAGTTTGGCCACTGTCTGCGCTCAGGCTTAAGGCTGCTTGCACTCAACCATCCCTGGTCTTGTCTCTTGTCTCTTGTCTCTGTCCTTCAGGTAACCGAAACACAAAGTGGGCCTTGGTTTGGAGGGCCTGTTGCAAATGGCTCCAGCAGTAAAGACACAGTCCACTTTATCGCCAGTCAGATGATTCTCCCCAAAGCTACAGGCCTGGGAGGCTGCACAGTGGTCAGTTATTATCGGATCCTTCTACAGAAAGCTGCAGAATATGAGCTGGGATCTCCTGATTCCAGGAAAACCTCCAGGCCACCAGCAGCAACCCTTCTGCTGATTCCTCGTCATTCTCCAGCCAGTAGCTTCAGTAATGACACACCTTGTGCCTCAGGTCTTTCCCCATTACTGCAAAGGTAATCACATTAAGAAGCTGGTGATAACTATTGCCTTCTATTGTCAGCATTTTATATCAAGGGCAGACTCTCTAGAGGCCAGAAACTAGACTAGAAACTAGAAAATTAGACATGAATGGGAAATAGAGAGACTCATTCAAATGGAAATCAAAGTAAACACAACACAAGCTCGCTAGTTTGATTAGTGAGCTTTTAAGTGTGCCTTCCAACTGTTTCTCATATCACAATTTGTCCAACTTTTACGTCATTCTTGATCAACATTCGTCACAATTTTGGCCTGGCGAGGGTCACTCGGTGAATACAAACATGGAGTTAGTCAGTGGAGAGAGACAGTGAGATGTTAGACCTCATATGTATTTGGGGTGACGCTTATGTACAAGCAAAACTTCCCCCAACTCCGCACGCATTCATGCATTTCAGGCTTTTATAGAAAAGCCAAGATTCATAGTGTAAATCTCTATCTTATTCTTGACAGTTGCCTTTGTTTTCATTTTAGATCACAGTACCAAGACTGCACCCTTTCTCCCACCCCTCCATGGCAACAATCACTAGGACTAGTTACTTCATCAGCAGAGCAGGAGGAAGGCTGCAGTACCCAGGACAGTTGCGATGAGAACAGCAGACAGACGGACAACTTCAAAACACCACATCACGCACAGAGAGGCTGCCTGGTGGACCAGATGGTCACAGAGGAGACAGAGCCATCACTTCTTCTTCCTTTAGAGTGCAGTTCTTACAGTTGTCCGTCGTTTGCCAAATACTCACACTCAGCTATTGAGAAAGCTGTTGGAAATATCCCCATCCTGAACACTTGGTTAAGTCCCTCACCTGGTCACAACCGCTCCAAAGCGAAGGGGTCTTCTACCAAACAAGCCACCGAAACATCTTTGCCAAGCTCCTTGGCTTGGGAGGATTTGCCTTTTTCCGAGAGTCTTACAGAGTTTTTGTGTGAGGCAAACAAAGATTTTGACACTGTTTGTGAAACAGAGCCACGGCTAAATGTGAAAAATCAGAAAGAATCAACAAGAGACAACCTGGAAATCAGATCACAAGACAGAAACATATCAATTAAATCAACTTCTGTTTGTCAAAGTAACACACAGATGACAGACAGACACTCTCGGATATTACAGAATATAACTAACACACCTGCAGCAAATGGAGGTGACAGACTCGATTTATCTGACCAGGTATGTAGGAACCCTTCTGGATGTGTAAACAGAAGTGAAGCCAGAAACATTTGTTCCCATAAGAGTAATCAGGAGGATGAGAAAGATAGTTTACTATCTTATGAAAACGATGAAGAAGAGCACTTTGAAGGCGACACTTACAATTGTTCAGCAGACCTATTCAGTAGCTCACCCGTGGTCGATATGAGCAGAAACACGTTCAGCACACATGCAGAAACTGTCAGGACGACCCCAGAAGCTCGCCCCGTGCTTTTCAAGTCAGACAAACAGCACCCGAGGAGTGAGACGGCAAATGTCTCACACTCAACACCAGACGAACAGAAACTGAAAACGAATACCTGCATAAACAGAGACGGTTTAATTCCACCTGGCACACAAGATGTTAACTTCATCCCTCCCTCGCAGTCCACTCCCATTGTAAAAGTAGCTGTTGTATCAGGGTCACATGCCTCCCCATACAGAACCATGACATTAGGGGACACTTGTGCTTTTGACAGAAATCTGCCTGAATTGGACAGTAAAAAGCCAGCCAAAATCACATCTTCTCTTTGTAAATTAAACAGTGTCAGAGCTAACTTGCTCTCACGGTGCGGCAGAGAGTCTACAAAAGAAAGTCTGGTGTGTAGTACGAGATCAAGCAGACACAGCCACACGTTTACCCCAAAAAGGAGGTTCTGGAAACCAGACAAACATAAACACCACCTGCTGACTCAGCAGCACCTGAGGGGCCAGAGGGGGGCTCTGAACACAGACTCAATAGGAAGGACCAATCACAGATGTGACTCAAGTGATAGTGATGTGACTGTGTGTGATTATGAGGACAGTGACGCAGTTCTTGTTCCTCCCACCCCTGCTGCTAACACACGGCTGAGTGCGTTAGCAGCAGGCAGAAGAAGAAGGCAGCAGACTGATAATAGCAGCGGTAGTGTGGATTATACTCGGGAAGGGAAGCAGAGAGATGGTGTTGATTGTAAAAGAACTCTGTTGCCTCAAACTGTCACATCTTCACAGAGAGGTCAGGCACAAAGAGGAAACTGTGACAGTGGGACTACTGATGACGGGAGTCTGGACGGATCTAATTGTTACCTCCTTGATGATGAGAACCAGGCATGTGATTGGTCTAGAGATCTCTTCTCTGACTCAGTCTGAGAGGTTCTGTTCAAGATGGATTTACGAATAGTTTTTTTTAATGTGTTCAGGGTTGGCTACCCAACTTATGATTGTTTTGAAAGAGTACTTCTACTCCCACTGCTACTACCAACAGTACTGCTACTCCAACTCTCTGCAGACGGATCTAAGAATAGAGCACATATATATTAAACACTAAAGAGAGGAGAAAGGCAACACAGGAGAAGTGTTGCAGCAGCAAAGGTGGGGCAGCTCTTATTAATGCCTATGGTTTTAAAGATATTTTAAAAAAAAATCACATATGGGTGTAATGTGTAGATTTCCACATGCTTTTATAGATTTATTTTAAAAGGAACAATCTTCTGCACATGGTGCACTTTTTAAATAATCAATGCTTTTATTGTAAACTTAAATGTTTGGATCAGATGACCTTTTGAATATTGAGGTGTGTAATTTACCTTTTTTGAGCTATGTGGGCCGTACTGTGACACATTAGTAATTATATATATTATATTTCTAAAGGTTTCCTGCTGCTGCATCTTTACTGCCATTGCTGGCATTATTTACTGTCTGTTCTCTATTGGTTCTCCAACTTTCTGAATGCTTTTAAAGTGATAATATGTGTATGACTGGGTGAATATCTGATAAAGCAATTGCTGCTGCTACATCTAATGACCATTGAGGATTAAAATATTAAAATGTTTGACAGAAATGTATTGAGTTTTGCATTTTTATCCTATTAATACCGTAGATGATAGAGATGGACAGGAAATACTGAGAAGAAATGGTATGAGTAGAAGCAAAGGTCCCAACCCCAAGGCAAACAAGACGCTCCGTCACTCTTGAATGCTCTCCAGTCTAATTTGAACCACTCTGCTCCCTGCTCCCTGGTACTTCTGTTGGCAGCAGAGTCCTTAAGCTGACCTGCTGTCCTGGTGCTACTGTGTGTGTTTTTGCAGGGGTGTTAACGCAGGGATGAGTGTGTACAGTGTTATGCCAGGGAGCTAAGAATAGCTGCAACCAAATATCATGACTGCAATGTTCTGGATGTGTGAGTAAAAGAGAGAGGGCAAAATGAAGATGATGTACATGTTTAAAAATGGAACTGGGACAAGAAGTAAGTACAGCTGGAGCTTTGTACTGTATGTGTTGCAGAGCCAGGGTTGGTATGTAGTCAGCTGGGTATGGCGTGATGCGTGTCTGTGTGGATGTTCCAGCATCCTGTTTGGTTGATCGTTTTCATTTGAAGTTCTTTGTGTATATTTTTAGCATCAGAACTCTTGGAGTGCTCCTGAGGTACACACACACTTCCATAAAATTTTGCCCACACGCATTTATGTTACCACGGAGGATGTTTCCTAATGACCTAATGATCTCCTGACTTCTCTTGACTTTGCCAACAAGTTGGGCGCTTAAAGAAAAACTTTAAGTGTTTGTGCTGGACGGCAAGACCAAACATTTGTACTACTGTATTTTTTTAAGATGTGGGTAATTTATAATTTATAATTTAATAATTTATTTATTTATTTATTTGTTGTTGTTTTTTTTTTTTTGCATGACTGTGCCTTTATATGCGTTTATAGTAGCTTATTCTACTGTCAGGGGTGCATAGAATATACAATTTTTTTTTTATTGTTCAAGCTGCAACAAATATGCCAACACATTTAACAGTGCTTTCTTTTCAAAACAAAATCTTTTAAACGGTTGTATAAACACTAAAATAATGAAATAACGTGTTTAAGTATTCAAAAAGTATTTCTCAAATGTTCCATTACACAAGAAAGAAATAACTTACAGCAGTTTTTAAATATATATTATATATATATATAAATTCATATATTGGAAATCAAAACCAGTATTCTGATTTGTCTATATCCGGTTTATCACCCACCTGTGAAGAGCAGCCGTCCCTAAATATGATGCAAATGTCTCTGTGGTGGTGTGTTCTTGCAGTCCCTCAGCTGGCAGAGAATCCACATTATGAAAAGGAAGACCCTGTACCTTGTGCTGGAAGTAGTACAGAACGTTGGCTATGGGAGTACTCAACAGCTCCAGCCTGCACCAGATATTTGGTGTTTGTGTGTATGCCAGAGAAGTTTGGCTCCAGCTGCTTCAGTAATAAAAATAGTAAATATAACCTCTGGTGCCATATAACCATTTATAAGTGTCAGTTTATGCACTTGTAATGCAATCAGCCAATTTGAGTTAAATGAGATTTGAATATAAAGATGGTGGTGCTAAAAGAAAATACCCACACCTCCTGGAGAAATACTCTTCTGTCTAAGATTTTTGCCATTAGCCACTTTTTCAGATTTTTTTGATTTTGGTGTAATCGCAATGTGTTTGCAGATATCTCTTTGAACTTTCTTTTTAACTTTTAAATGATTCAGTAACCATTACTGTGAGATTTACTTTACTCATTTACTGAATGAAGATTGACATGACCATTTTTGTAAATTGGCCCTTAGCCTTTAGGTGTTTTATAAATACAGTCCCAGAGCTTGATATGTTTCCAAAAGTTGCAGCTGTGTGTGTGTGCCAAGGGAGACCCTCTCTCCTTTGCGTGCAACTAGTAGCCTACAGTACATGAGTTATGCCACCAATGGAAACACTCAGAGCCACTGTGTCGAGCATACGTGCTTGACTGCTTGACTCTGTGTGTGTGTGTGTGTGTGTGTGTGTCATTACTGCCCATGTCGTAGCATCATTTATTTTATTATTATCTTTATGTAGGTCAGTGCATCTGAATTTTTATGTTTCATTTTGTTCATCATTGTTTGACAGTGACAGGAATATGGCTTGCAACAAAAGTTCCCCTGCTTAAATCAAACCAAATGTTGCAATTATGCACTTTGACCATTAGGTTACTGGGATGGCTAATTTTGTGTTATTTTGTTAAATTATGTCAATTACATTGCATTCTGTTACACTGTACCCACATGGCACACTATAAAAGCACCATTGTATATATAAAAATGCACAAAAACACTATACAACTTAAACTGGTACCAATATTAAGCAAAAGGCCGGTATATTCTATTCTATTTTATTTCTGTATAAATGATTAAAAGATTAAACCAAAATCAGCTGCCATTAATTTTACAGTAAACAAATTATTTACTCTGTTTTGTCAGTTTTTTTGAATAGATGGTACACCTAAAAAATCACTTAAAAAAAAAGAATCTGCTATATATTTTTATGTACATATTTTGGATATATAAGGTATACACCTTATATTGTATTGAGCACCAAAATTAGTTGTGTAATATAGGTTATTAATGACTTGTAGTTTGTGCCGCAAGACTTATTTGAAATGGTTCACTATGTGATAGCATCTGTTGCAGTAGTGTTTCCATTGCACTGTTTCCAGGGAAAATGTACTCCTGGGTTGTGGACAGCTAGTAGTGTGGCTGTAACATTAGAGGGCTGTAGAGATTAAGAGGCGTGACAAGCACATGGTGTGGAAGGGTGGAGAAATGGCTTAGTATGGAGTTGTCAACAAAGCGTCAGCCCGGGGGCCGTCTCATGGTCCTGACATTGGAGAAGCTTCCCGTTGTAGAATTAAAGCAGATAGATACATCACAGATTTCTTCTTCGGTTCTTCTGCGATAGTGTGTGTGTAACTCCAACAAATGTAGTAGAAGACTATTGGAGACTCAAAACCTGACAAATTAAGCCAATTAAATGCCTTGATAACAAATTATGTTTGACACATGTACTGTTCTGTCAGCTGTAGGTAATTCATTCTTACTCCACAGTTCAAGCTCACTGCATACTGCAGACTATTCTGTAGCTGGTCATGAACTCTGACCTCCTTGCTGACCCCCCCAGCCCCCCTCCCCACCACCACCAAAAAAAACCACTTCATAAGAGAATGAAGTCATTGTCATTAGTATGAATGACAGTCACTGTCTTGTACTATTTTTTTTATGGTGACAACATTTTATTTGTGCATTTAAAAAAATGACTTCCCTGATAACATCTTGTGATGTGAATAGAAGTCTCTATTAGCTACAGTTCTGTGGTCTGCTGTTGCTACTCTGTGGGCTGGTCTCTTTCCCCCTCCATAATAAGACATGGAAATTCTGACGTTAGATGCCAGTGCTCCTTATAAGCACCTGTCCTTCCGCGTCACGCCAAGCTCCGAATATGAAAAGCGTGTGATTGTTTTCCGAATGAGAGTGTGCGTAGATAGTAGACTGGGACTATATATTCCCCATGGAGGGTCTTTTCTCCATTCAACTGCAAGCAGGACTTGGTGGGACACTACGCTGAGAGCTTTACACTGCGCACTGCATAGTGGACATTTGTTGCTCCTCTCCCAATATAACATGGAGGTAAGATATTTGTTTCTACCTGAGGTACATGTTCAGACAGTGTGTGGCTGTAATGACTTTTATGACTACTTTAACTGATGAATTACAATAATCAGGTAACACTTTGCTTAAACTTTGTGCTTAAACTGAAAAAGAGTTTGTTCAAAGTAGTTGTATTCATTTGGAAATAAGGACATAAGATTTTAATCAGTTGTATAATACATCGCCTTAAAGTCTAGTCTAAACACCTGTGAGTGGCAACCCATGGTGCACATTAAGACAGAGACTAAAGCAATCAGCACTAAATCTTTTCACCCGTAATACAAATAAACATAAAAAACTACTACACTCGAGCTTATCTGAGCCTTCTCAGTGCCAGTCTTCTGTTTAATCTCGCTATATAAGCAGCGCTAACTGCTATTGACTGAGTTCTGTACTCTCCAGGTGGAACCCTCTGTCCAGGAAGCCTGTAACCACGCAGCATCACTGCTGACAAGTCTAAACCTCCAAAGAGAACGAGCTCAATTCTGTGACTGTGTGGTCAGACAGAAACAGAGCCCTGGTCAGCTGTACCCTGCACACAGGTGAGCAACATAAGCTGGTTTTCTTAATCGCAAACAAACTTTTGCGAAAATTACAACATATTTAAATTCTTGTTTATATTGGTAGTTGTGTGTCGTTTGCAGCACCACATATCTAGTTGCTCTTTGGTCCCCCAGGTGTGTCCTGGCAGCTTCTAGTCCAATGTTGGCATCTATCTTGTCCTCTTCTGGTGTCCTGGTGGAACTGCATCTGTCTGACTCTGTACTGGAACTTGTTTTGGACTACATTTACACAGGGGCTTTGCCATACACTCTTAGCCAACAACAGCATTACAATCTGCTTACTGCTGCCTGCTACCTGCAGATGGATGACCTACAGGATGCTCTGAGGACTGAGGTGAATACTGCAGATAATACAAATGCCTCCACTGGAACTGAGAATCAGTCATATAAAGACATTAATACTAAAACTGACACTTGCAGTGCAAATTCACTGGAGAGAGAGAATCAATATTGTGATGATATAGATGCATGTAGAAGTAGCAGTAAAACTGATGCATACCACTGTAATAATTTAAGCAATGCAAGTACCAGCTGTAGTTTGACTGAACGTTCTGGACGAAGTGTAAATGCAGGTAACTGCAGACAAGCAACTTATCTGATGCCTCAGGATTTGATTCAAAATATCCCTGGCGCGGCTGAAGCACATGGGGTGTCTATGGAGGAGCCAGCAGCGACAGCTGAGAACAGGAGGCATTTGTATTCACGCTGTACTGCTGAGGTGCAAGAGGAAGAGACAAGCAGAGCAGAGAAGACACAGCAACTGGGGTTAACAGTGAAAAGTAAAGCAGGGGAGAAGCAAACTAACAGAAAAGAGGAAGACAAGATGCTTCGCTCTCCCCTTCCTCATCTCTCGACCTCCCGCCTTAAGGACAAGTTTTCTCCCTCACAGCACTCCTCCTCATCACCACATCTGTGCTGTGGGGCTGTGCCTGTCATCCGTCACAGCGGTAGAATAGCTATGGCAGAAGTGCCTCCTTACCACCCAGTGTCTCAGGCCTCGGTCAACTCCAGCAGGGCCCCTGACTTACGATTAGGAAGCACAGACAATGACAGAATTGTTGAAGGTATTACCACTGAACACAAAAATCATTATGAGGCACAGAATCGGGATTACAGAAACAATGAATACCACATTGGAACACAGAGTTCAGATCAATGTGCAATACAGGATTTATGTTACAAATCCAATGCAGATGAATCAGACATCAAAAGGCAGGATTACAATAGCAGCAATACAGACAGTGATGAATATATGGGCAATGGATTATCCCACATTACAGATCATAATGATCACCATGCTCACTGTGATACATTTCGGAATAAGACTCCCACAAAACATTTTAGTGACGATTCAGTGCTGCAGAATAAGGATTGCAGCAGCTTCACCAAAGAATCAAGAAATAAAACTGATCTAAGTTTTAAGGATTTCCCCTCCAAACATCAGCGACTGGATTGCTCTGATTGCCACAATGTCTCGAATGACCCGAGTGTTGTAGTTCCACTTCCTGTACAGGAAGAAGGAACAGGAAGTGACTGTGAAGATTTGTGTCCTGAAGGAGAAGTGAAAGAGGAACAGAGTTACTCAAGCAGGTGTCCAACTAAAATGGATAGACAGGACAACCACTGTAACCTCTATGGACCTCGGTACACAAGCACAAAAGACGCCAACTCCAGCCAGCGTGAACATGACAACAAAGACACGGCTATGGATCATAATACTGACTGCACATTTCTGGAACATGAAAATATGTCGGGCATTGGGCCACACTTAACTTTTACAGTGCCTGTGGACAACAACATGTCTGATCCTACATACAGTGTTGTGGGGCAGTCATACAGTGGACATCTTCGTTATCACTGCCTACCCCAGGAGGACACGCACTTATCACACAGAGACTCTGATCACAAACACTCCCACCCTAGCCACCCTGATCATTCAGACCAGTCCACTGATGAGGAGGAGGAGGAGGATGCCAGTCCAGGTCTCAGTCCTCTGAGTCCTCAGCACTTTGCTACTACAGATCAGGTTCTACTGCTGGACATCAGTGCCAAACCTGCAGAGCTGCTCGTGTCCTACAAACACAGATCTGATGAAGGGGAGAAATGGGTTGCATTAAGCCAAAAGGACACATGTGGAAATGGGTATGGGAATAATGATAGATTACAACGTAATGAAGCTGTGTCTTGGGTTGGGGAAACAAATGTTGAAGAAAGAAAATCTGTTAGTAAAGAGGAAAACAGGCCAGGAGCTGAGGTTGTACATAAAGGTGAGAACCAGACCATTACCTGGACAGCCTGTTCACCTCCTAGTGTGCCAGACTCTGTACAAGCCTCAGTGTCATCTTCTTTGTCTGTATGCATACCTTCTACCCTGTCAGCCAGCATGCCAAAAAATATATCAGCCCATCTGTCAACTCCTGTTCACCACCCTTTCCAGTGCTCTCTGTGCGAACGTTCCTTCAGCCAGCGAGGCTCTCTGAATAGACATGTGCGGAGCCATCTTGGCGTACGGCCCTTCCCCTGCCCCCGCTGCCCTATGACCTTTTCACGACAGTACCGTGTCACAGAGCACATGCGTGTTCACCAGCGCTGTGTCCTTGGGAGCGACTTTCAAAAGCCTCCCGCCTCTTCAATTTGAGACCACAGGATTATGATAATATGTTTAAATATATCGAAGAAAATTAGGGCATTTCTTTTAGAATTCAGGGTATTCAGAATTCAGCAGTGCAGTGAAAATATGCCATTCCAAATAAGCAGTAAAGGGGAAACGAGCAGAAAAAAGTAAGTAAAGCATCAATCAATATTTTGATGTAAACAATAGAACACATTCATAGTGATGAAACCACAGATAATTATCACCCGTTGCTTCTCTCAGATCTCCAGAGCTTTTAAGCATCTTTCAGCTCAGTTGTTTTGGTTTTCCAGTCTGCGAATTCACTGTTTCGGTTCACTCTCAACTCTGTTTTCAGCAAAAAAGCGAGTCAGCAGCATTTAGCAGCTAAAGAGGATTTCCCAAAGGTTGGGAGAGATCAAAACAGAGCTGAATATTGGACTTATAATCGCCAGGTGGCCAGAAACACGACTCCAAATGAATGATAATGTTTCTCGGTGTCTGCTTGATGTGTCTGTTTACGAGTTCGCCTTCTCAAAACATCAGTTATTGCAGGGTTAAGTTGCTCCGTCTCTGCTGGATGTGTAAATAGGCAAATGTCTGCTAACAAGTTATTCCTATATCAACATAAAAGGTGATAATATATGAGTGTTGTGTCTTCTTTAGCGTTCTTTAGCGCTAATTTTTTTCTCAGATTAACATTTTGACTCCATTCCATTCAGTGCTGTAGTGGGTGTTGTCAGCAGGCACTAATTTATTATGAGATTAAAGGTTGCAGTGACAGAAAGGTTTTGTACAGCAGTGACCTGTCACATGGGACTCATATTCTCTGTTTAGACTGTGTATGATGTCAAACTCTTTGTTTTCATATGTAATTAAAGGCATTTGTTTTAATTGATTGATGAAAACATTATTTAAGAGAATTTCCATTCCTTTAATGATGCATGTCATTGTTTCCCTTGTTCATGGGATGCTATATGGTGTGTAAAGATTCAAATTAGAGATGAATTACTTTTGTAACACTGATAGAAGAAACTGAGCTTGATATATTGTTTTCTGTCTGATGCACATTGTGTATATGATTGTCATGTATATGACAATTTTTGTTTTGTTTTTAATTTTCCACAACAACACTTTAAAATAATACAAATTGGAATATGTTTGGTTTTACAAATTAAGCTATAAAGATTAAAAGTTAACACAATCTGAAGCCAATGCAACATAATGAACTTGATTGTCGTGTGATTTGTGTTATGTTATTCTGTACTCAAAGTGAAAATTTTGTACATATTTTTAAGACGGGCATATTTTAAGTTGTAGCCTGTTGTCCCTTTGTTTTCCTAATTTGCAGTTTGCAAACTTATGGTAACAGTTGCACAGGAAGGGTACAGACATATCAGGATTTGAATAACATCTCACTCCCTGTTCCTTCTGTTAACAGAGAAATTTATTAGCGATCTGTCTTACATGCTGTCCTCTGTAAGTGAGGACAGTACATTGGGTGTCATAGTGCTTGTACTTAATGGTGTTGCTGAAACAAGAGCTGACATGGTAGGTAAAAAAAGTATCAAGGGCAGCCATGAGACTCTGTGCATGCGCTGTCTTGTCTATGCCAAACTTCTTCTGTAAGGGACAGAAAGGTGGAAATACACTGCATCGTTCGGTGTTCAACACTTCAGACAGTAAAAACACAGAGAACAGTTTGCCAAAGGTTACATGTTTATGGTTGGATTTGTTGACATTAAATTTTCACATTCAGATTTTTCCACTCTGTTCTTGGAATAAAATGTTTCAGAATTTACATGGCTGTGTGTTTCCATTTGGTAATAATGCAGTTCTAAATGCAAACCATGATTAAATACTCACTTAAAATACTCAGATGCATTAATACAGAATCAAGGTTTATTACTTTTTAAGCCATAATAAGTCATTAATTAATTACTAATTAAGCAGTATATTAACAAACATTAAGAAGTTATGTTCTTAAGTTGTTCATAGTTGAATTTGGGTGCAGGTTTTGTGCAACAATTTCCCAAAAGGTATGTGGTCAATCCGTAACCTGATCAGAATGAATTACCACTATTTTAATACACTATTTGAACAGTTGAATAAAATTAGATATGTGGGCAGTGATTTGTAGTCCTGGAAGCAAACTGGTTAAATGGTCAATTTGAATGGTCTTCCTAGTGAATTAAAGGTAAAAAGACAAAGCAAATAATTTCATGCTGGCAGAGGATAAACACCTCAATCCAAATTGTTGTCCTATTAATGGAACATATATAATGAGAATATATTATAAACATTTCTATAGGGTGCCTAAATAGTGGTGCCTTTTTACTGTAACGAGAACACCAGCGAGCTCATCTGAGTTGAGGTTTTATTGTTTTGGAGAAATTAAAACAGCCCACACTAAATGTTTTTTTCAGCTATCGCAGACAGACATTGGTTTAACCCAGACCTTTGTCCTGTGGTGTAATAGTGCAAACATAATGTAGAGACAGCTCAGCCAGTGCCGGACTGCAAAGTAGCAGTTAATTGGCTACACAGTGGGGAGAGTTCAATGTCATCTTCCTGCTGAATCTGGTGGCAGGTGTTCAAAAAAGGTTAAAAAGTATAAAAAATATACATACATACATATTAATTGAAATGAATTTGTACAACAACCACAACTCACCAGTGAGAAGTGGTTAATGTTTATGAATCATGTGTCTTGTTGTGCCCACAAGGAGAAATACTTTGCTGTCTTTGTATGCTTTATAAGTCTTTTTTCTGCTCAGTCTATCCCACTTCAGACTTCGTCGTTATTCAACTGGTGTCTCAGTCGGCGAAGCAGTCATCATCACAATTACCTAAAGAGAAGAGAAAGAAGAGCACACTAATGCTTAACTGGTCCTCAGTCATGTTGTAGCTTTAGCAAATATTGTGAGACATTAGTGAGTGGGACACGCACAGCTCTCAGCAGACAGAAGTTGGAAGTCTTTTTACCTGGCTCTTTGTTGAACGCAGGGCAGCCCCAGCCAGAGCTGACATTACAATGAGAATAACTGCACCCACAAAACTGTGGAACAGGAAGATCGCATTCATAGACTCATCCATGGCCTGGAAAAACAAATGTATACACCTATCTCAAAAACACTGTAACTGTGGAACAAACTGAAATCAAAGCACTTTTTACCAAGTGAAGAAAATAATTGATGCAGTTAATTGGGGTCACAGCAAGTCAAATTGGTCGTCGCTGCTCTTTTATATTCTGGATAAGTGCTATGACCCAACAATAAATCAAACATTTAAAATGTATTGTGTACTGTTTTCTGTTTCTCAGGAGTCACACATCCTAAAATGCTAAACCATTTGAAGAAGTTTTCACTTGACATTTGAATCAATCCAAGACACACAAACTATATGTTGTTTGTAAGATTGTTCAATATCATATAATGAAGCCTTAATTCAATGAAAAAAATTGACACCAACACACACGAAACAATTATAATCACCTCATATGTTAACCATGGTACTTCGGACTCTGTGATATTGTATTCAAAGTAGTCATAGTGTCTGTAGTAGTGGGAGTGTACCAGTTCGGGTAAGATCAGCATGAAAGTCCAACATGCCACCAGTATGCCCACAATGCTCAGAGCCAGTGATATGGTTACCTATATGTAGACACCAACCGAGAGAGATGAGGGAAAAACAGACCAAAAATTACAAATGGTAATAATTCCTATGGACAACAGGGGGAGCCCTGCAAGTGGTGATAAAGTAATCAAAGAAGATATGATTAACATCTAAATAAATACTAGAATCTGAGACTTTTACTCTTAGGTAATTGAACTTTTAGTGGAAAACCATATCAGACACCAATCATTATTCCAAGAATTATTTGTATGTCATATGTCTTAAAACATGTCAGGAGGGGTTTGTTAATAAAGCAATGTATCTTCAGGTCCTCTAAATACAATATCCAGTAAATACAGTATTGCTTCAAGATATTACAAGAGAGCTTACTGTTTTCTTGGTTGGTTTGTGCTCTGTCACAATATACAGAATCCCACATACGATGAACTGCAAAAGGAATCAGAAAAAAGATGTTTTATTATATATCCCTCAAATGTTTTGGGATACTACCGCATGCATTAGATAGAGCTCAGCCTGTTGCTGGTGCAGAAATTAGTTCAAATTACTCTCAGCCCTCAATCAAACCCTTTACAAATGTTGATTATAGGTGATTTCTTGGTTTTGTCACTCTGCTGTTTAATAGATAGATAGATAGATATGATCCAATGATGAATAATTCTCTTGTTGTTCTACCAACCATTGTTCCCAGTAAGAGGCCAGGTGGGATGACTGCCGATAAGTGTTGAACAGAGGATGGCATGATGGCGATGGAAAGGATGAAGTAAGACATGCCCAGGACCAGAACGATTATCTAAAAGAAAATCAAAAACAACTCTTTTTTTTGTTAATTCCTTAAAAAACAAGATTTTTGATAAACATCAGGTGTGTGTGTGTCTCACGCCAATAATCTTGGGTTGGCCCTTAATGAAGCGATGTAAAGGTTTGACGCCTCCCATTGTGGCGCCTTGAAGACTTGTATTATTACCACTCGCAGAGTAGAGCTCAGCAGACATCTTATAAGCAAACAGACACAGGACAGAGACATTAATATGGGGATTCACTTGCTGCTTGTATGTTACACTATAGGGGGTCAAGTTTTGATTTTACATCTGACGGATCTGATTCTCTTATCGAATCCTGGTTTTTATTCTTGTCACATTATTTGAGTAGTTAAAGAAAAATTCAGTGCAAACAAAAACTATCTTTAGCTTCAGTTACTAACTATCTTTAGCAGATTTATTTATTTTGTCCTACATGAGATGCAGATGTTGGATGTTTGTTTTTAGTTCAGTTTGATCTCTGTGACCAGTAGCCTACACAAACACTGTGCACTGACTCAGTACTGTAAGAAAAAAGCTTTTTCCTGCAAATATACTCTGCCGTGATTCGGTTGTACCACAGATGTATTTTGTAAAGCTTTAGCAACTCCTTGGACACTGACACATGAAACCTAAAATGTAAATGGAAGTAAAGAAGTAAAGAGTAGAGGGATAAGTGAAGACATCTGCTAGTGAAAAGTCATATTCAAGGAATAAAATGCAGAACTAAAAAGAATGTTTCTTAAAGGACCATGTCTACATGGAAATCCACAGACGAGCCATTCCTACATTCTGGTAATTATACGCTAATGGAAATATTCTGGTCAATATTATATTTAATTTCTGCCAATAGATTCTCCTAAATGTTACATACTGGACCTCTAACAAAGGTCACACACATTTTATTTGTATTTATGTATTCAGTTATTATTGAACTTGAGCTTTCAGTACTAACTCAACCTGATGTGTAAATGCTTCCATCTGTTTTATTCACATTTCTATTCCTCTAAATGATCCTGACCAGTTTTAAATGAGTTATTATTCCTGTAAAAGCAGGCAGTACACACCATGGCATGTGCAATGCATTTTACACTACAGTGTCATAAGCTGCCTGCTCACGTGTTATTAATTACAACAACTGCAACTCCCGTGAAGCTCTGACAGAAGGCTAACAGCCGAGACTCACGGGATATGTTGTGGTCGAAACCGTCCACAAACGTACAGTAGTAGAGGCTGTGCAGTACACGCTGTTTACTAGAAGAGATGTGGGACTGCACATACGTTAGATATCCCCACTCACCCTGACATCAAGCAGAACGGATCGTTTACTGAGAAAACACTGGTCTGAAAGGAATGTATCCTCCACTGCGCTAAAGCTGCACAGATCCACAGGAAGTTTATGTAACTAACTTAAGTGACTCTGATCTATCAACGTGACTGCGTAACTATGTAACGTAGACAGGAGTACGCTATTGTTAAAGTGTCAAGTCTCAGACTTAGACTCGTCCAAATAACAAACAGACTAGCTGTTAAAAGAGAAACGGAGAAGCAGACCTTGAGTGCAGTGCTGGGGTCCGAGCTGTAGTTAACTGGTACTCTTGTAACCACTGGCGTTCACATCTGGAGCAGCGTGATGGGGCATTTACGGTCGATCCGTTCATTTTGAACACGACCCGAACTCATAATATGTGCTTGTTGTAACTCATGGCTGATAGCATTTGCTGCAAGAGAGCGATTTATTCAACAAGTCCCCCCAAAGAAATGAGTAAATATGTTGTTTGCTTTTGTATTTGTCCAATCAGAAACAACAGTTCACAACAACAGTGAACAGTTATACTTCCTACGGCCAATAGAGGTTTTAGGTCCAGTGTGTAACATTTAGGAGAATTTATTGGCAGAAATGGAATATAACTAT